GGACCCGGGTTGCAAGATGACCGGTTTGTGAATATTATTGTGGAACCCCTCCCCTCCACCCCCTCTTGATAACCAACGCTCAAAAAATAAGTATTCCCTGAATATTATTCCGTGTGGTGGCCCCCCCTGGGAATAAATATTCAAGACACCCCTCATCACTGACTGGAGGGATGAAACCATGAGCAGCCGACCAGATGCCAGAACACAGCCTGGCGCGTTAAACCCTAAACCCTAAACCCTAAACCCTAAACCCTAATCTTGCCACAACTTCGGGACTTCAGAGCTGATAGGCTCCCCGTGGCACGGTCATGTAAAAAAAGGGGGCCTTAATAATTAGAATAGGGTTGTGGGCTATACTATAATAAAGCCCTAACCCCCCAGGTACCTACTATATAGGGTACTAGAGCCCCTAGGGCCCTAAATAGTAGGTACCTGGAGTGTTAGGGAAGAGCACCAAAAAAGATATAGGTAATTCTAAAGGCACCTATATTCCGGTTCAGGGTGTAGGGTTTACGAATTAAGAAATATTTTCCTGGAAGCTCACACGCTGCAACTCCGGGAGCAGTGTTGTCGAAACTGTGGCCTGTGCGCGTCACTACAGTGGCGGTTTCGGGTTTAGGGTTTACGGTTTAGGATTAGGGTTTAGGGTTTAGGGTGGGAGCGGCCGTGATGATATAGCCGGGAAACCTCATATTGCGGAACCGCAAATCCCACATGCGGCACTAGCAGTGAATAAGTGCGCACAGGTCATGCATAGCACATAAGCGATTCATAACAATACCATCAGCAACATCATTATCATCGTCAATGTCATCATTATCATCACGAGCAGATTAACATCATCATCCTCGTCACCATCACCATCATCGTCACCAGCAGCAGCAGCAGCAGCAGCAGCAGCAGCAGCAGCAGCAGCAGCAGCAGCAGCAACAGCAACACAACAGCCACAGCAACTGCATCATCATCATCATCATCATCACCATCATCATCATCGGCAATACAACAACAGCAACAACTCCTACTGCCTGCTTCCTGCTTCCGTCTCCTACTCCGACTCGAACTCCGACTCCTACTCCTATTGCTGCTCCTAGTCCTAGGCCTAGTCCTCCTCCGGCTGCTACTGCTAGTACTACAAATACTACTACTGCTACTACCACTCCTACTCCTACTACTCCTACTACTACTGCTACTACTGCTACTACTGCTACTACTGCTACTTTTGCTACTACTGCTACTACTCTACTACTGCTACTACTACTACTACGACGACGACGACGACGACCACTACCACTACCAC